GGTCTGGCTCAGCTCCCAGCCTTTGTACTTGTGACCTTGAGCGAGTTCCTCACCTCGCTGAGTTTCAGCAGCAGTTCAGAGCATCTCAGAACTGGCTGTATAGACTGGACGCGAAAATGAATAATCCATGGGAAACGCTCGCGACAACCCTGAGGGCCCGAGAGTTGGCTCAGTGGCCAAGCACATGCTTTGCATTCAGGGGGCCGCCACCCCTGCTGAGACCCAGCCAAGCAGAGGGAGAACAGAACTGAGGTCATGGGTTTGAATCCAGCTGCTGCCGCTAGTGGGAGTATGGCTCTAACACGCTCTTCCTGCCCTCCATTTGTCTGCTGGCCTTTCGGGGGCTTGTCCTGCCTTCTGGGCTTGTCTGCAGACTGGACATGAAGCGTTTGGGGTGGGTGGCAGGGCACCTGGCATCTGCGGGCTCGGCTGGTTTCCTGTTTCCTTCCTGGGTCACCCCACTTGGCCTTCCCTCTCCTTGGGGCTCCCCTTAGGCCTGTGTTTGCCTGCTGTTGGCATGTGCGCCACTGGATGGGAGGGACCCGAGCGGTAGAGACTCCAGATGAGCCTCAGGACGTGGCACCCATGCATGAGTGAATGAATGGATGGAGGGGGGGCCCCAAGAAAACTGGCTCTGTCCTGCCTAGGAGCTTTGCCGACCTGACGGGACCAGGGTGTAGTACGTGTGGGTCACCTGTGACATGAGTGCGGGGCAGCTCCATGCACTGGCGCCTGTCGTGTTGTTGACCGGCTGGGTAGAGGCAAACCATCTGGTCAGGGGGTTCGAAGGGCTCGCCTGGGCATACACCAAGAAGGCGACAGTGGGGAGACGCTAGTCCGAGGCTTGTCAAGTATCCCGCACATGTCCGAGGACTCCTAGGTATTGCCACAGCCCTTGGCTCCCAGCATCCCTGCAGTAGGGCGGGGGGGATTCCCCGCTTCTCCCTGTGGCCACTGCCACGGGTGCCGTTGGTATCTGTGGGGAAACAGCATAGACTGAGTGTGACGCCGAGACCAGGCCACTTTCAGGCCCATCAGCAGCTGCTGGTGTTGGTCAGGGGTTAGCCCCGCCTGGACCTGGCCGCAGCATGCCTTTTCTGGGACTCCCCTCGCTCAGCTTTCCCCAGTATCATTTCTTTTTTTTTCTTTTTGGGTCACACCCAGCAATGCTCAGGGGTTACTTCTGGCTTTGCACTCAGGAATTACTCCTGGCATTGCTTGGGGGACCATATGGGATACCAGGGATCGAACCCGGGTCGGCTGCGTGCAAGGCAAACACCCTACCCACTGTGCTATCGCTCCGGCCCCAGTATCATTTCTTTGATGGCCTTTAGGTCCAGGACCTCCCGGGAGGGCCTGCGTCCCGGCATCTCGCTTACCTGTGCGCTGCCCTTCCTTCCATTCCTGCCTGCTTTCTCTCAGGCCTTGACAGGTGCCCGTCCGCCCTCCACATGCATTGCCAGTCCCCACAACTAGATGGCCCCTCGGTGCCACCGAGCTGAGTGTCTGCAGGCCCGGCTCCGCGGGTTTAGGAAGCACTCCATCCCGAGATTGACCGAGGGCACGGAGCCTTCAAAGGGGAAGCCGAGAGCAAAGTGGGATTTGGTCTCTGAATAGACTCCGCTGGGCGCGGGTGCCCTGTAGGAGCTCCAGAGAGATTCTGAGAGATTGAGAGAGGCGTGTGGCCGAGGAGCTTGGGAATGCCCTTCAGCGGAGCTGGGGTCCCAGTGTTCACACTCAGTCCCAGCATACACGCCCCACTGCTGTGCTGTCTCCAGCTGAGCCTCAAGTACTTCTCTCAGGAACATGGGAGTTGGGGTGTGACGGGGACTGGTAGAAGGGGCAGTACCAGCGTCCACAAAGGCTCCTGGGGAGGTGCTGGGCCCCTCCCGGCACACACAGTTTCTGATGTTTCTCCCTCCCACCACTCCTGTGGCAGGGAAACGATCCGATGGCTTTTTCTCCTGGAGTGGCCACTCCGGGTGAGGACTAGAGGAAAATGAACTTGGACAAAAATGGTGGATGGCAAGGGCTGGAGGCTGGCTTAGGGGGCTGGTGCATTTGCCTTGTGTGCCAGAGGCCAGGCTCCATCTGGAGCACAGCCACGGCCCCCCAGGTACCGCCACAAGTGACACCCAGCACCAGTGAATGTAGCTCACGTTTATTATGGTTCTTTGGGTTTTGTTGGGGGCCACAGCCATGATGCTCAGAGGTTGCTTCTGGCTTCGTGCTCAGGAATTTCTCCTGGCAGTGCTCAGTGGGTCGAGCCCAGGTTGACCGCATGCAAGGCGAACGCCCTATGTGCTGTATTATCACTCCAGCCCTGGGTTTTATGTTTTTAAATTCTGTATTTGTGAACTTATGCCATCCATGCAGTTAAGAAACTTTTTTGGGGGGAGGGGGTCACACCCGGTGATGCACAGGGCTTACTCATGGCTAATGCACTCAGGAATTACTCCTGGCAGTACTCAGGGGACCATGTGGGATGCTGGGAATCGAACTTGGGTCAGCTGCGTGCAAGGCAAACGCCCTACCTGCTGTGCTATCTCTCCAGCCCCGCAGTTAAGAAACTTTTAATGCATAACTCTTGGAGGAGGCAGGCCGTGCAGTGCTCAGGGATGATTCTGGCTGTGCTTGGGCACCGAGTGATGCTATGAGGCTGGAGCCTGGCCTCCCGCATACGCAGAGCTCATGCTCTGGCCCTTTGAGCCATCTCGCTGGCTCTCTGCTCTGTGACTCACACAGTGCCCAAGTGAGTCATCTTGTCAAGTCTCCATGTCGGCAGGAGTGCGAGAACCGAGAGAGAGGGGATGTAAATAATTCTCCTTTCAGGTGGTTGAGATTGGTGCCGCCACAGCTAGGTTCCTGTTGCTGGTGAACTGTTCACACTTTTCCTGCATGGTTAAATACCTCCTGGTATCATTTATTCTTCGGCAGAGCCTGGCAAGCTCCCCGTGGTGTATTCGATATGCCAGAAACAGTAACATAAGTCTCACAATGGAGACGTTACTGGTGCCTGCTTGAGCAAATCAATGACCAATGGGAGGACAGTGCTACAGTGCTATCGTTTATTCTTGTATGAAGAAGGGATAGTCGGCCCCCCATCAGCCATGCTGAAAGATGAATTTGAATCCACTTCCTCTGCACTGGCCCTAACTGATGAATCTTCCGTCAGCCAACACTTGGAGGAGTGGGCACACTTCAGGTGAAGAAGTCATTCAGAAAAAGAAGAAATGTGATGTGCAGAAGGGTGTGCACTGAAAATAACATGTGCCAAGAATCATCCCTTTTGCTGTCCTAGTGGGAGAAAAAATATAAAAAAATATAAGCACAGGGCCTGAGCGAGGTCTGCTGAGAAACCTCACATACAGAGGATGAGAAGGTTTTCGGTAAAACTCCTTGCAATGCTCTAAAGACCTTTGGTCCTTTCAAGGGCTATGTGAGGCTAACCCGCTGTCCCAGCAGCGTCTAGGTTGTAGGAAACGTGACGGTTCCCCAGAGTGGGTAAGTCACCCCACGGAGAGGCTTGATGAGAGGGCCCTAAGTTGGGAGACTGTATTATCAGAGTCCAGACTGGCACAAGGCAGCATGCGTAGGTATAGACTGGCTTTACGGCGCAGCGCTCAACAGCGAGAAATTTCGTGCCTCGTGCGCACGGGGCTGAAAATGGGACTAAACAGTCTCCCCGACAGGAATGGGGTTAAGGTTAATGACCACTTTCTCAGCAGCATGGAAGAAAAAGACTTGAAGATGTGGGTTGAGTTCACATTAAAGCAAACCCTGGTTGTTCCTAGAAACAGTAATTTGGGGGCTGGAGAGATAGCGAGTAGGGCGTTTCCCTTGCATGCGGCCAACCCGGGTTCGACCCCAGCATCCCATATGGTCCCTCAAGTATAGCCAGGAGTGATTCCTGAGTGCAGAGCCAGGAGTAACTCCTCAGCACCGCTGGGTGTGACCCAAAAAGAAAAAGAAAGGAAAGAAAGAAGAACTTTTCTTCCATCTCTCTGACCTGCAGCAAGGGCTATAGAAATTTAGGAGTAAATTACTCTGCATACTCCACCTCCCCCCCCCCCCCATCGCCCGTGTCCAGTTGGGCACCCAGTCCCGTTTCACAAATGGAGCAAATATTCGTCATCTTCTCGTGATTTTCCTGAATGTCACTTGAACGACTAACCTTTCTCCTTGCATCCATTTCGTTCTATGCTCTAAACATAGAAGGCTTCTGCTTTGTTTAAAACTCTCCCCTGGTTTTTCATCGGCCTGGAGTAAAGAACCGTAAGGAGAAAATTGTAGTTAGTCCTGTGCTCCCACTTTACAGGCCTTCTCGGGGCTCCTCATAGGCGCCACCAAGTTTTCAGTTCTTCTGAGTCGGAAACAAGGGCACATAGATGGACACATGCCTACCTACCTACCATAATCTGGGGTCATACAATCCAGACAGCTCAGCCCTGGAGCTGGTGAGAAGTCTGTCCCATCATGTCCGGGGCGCTGTGTTTCCCAACCCCGCCCTGAGTTCATTGCTCTTCCTCTTCCAGCCTCCCACTTAAAAAAATACATTTTTCCTCCCAGCACCAGGGACTGAACCAGGGCATCACACATGTAAGGCTGGTACCTGCACATGGCAGCCAAGCCATCTCCTCAGCCCCTAATTTGTGGGGGGGTTTTTTTGGTTGTTTGTTTGTTTTTGGGGGGAGGGAGGTCACACCTGGTGGTGCACAGAGGTTATTCCTGGCTCTGCACTCAGGAGTTACTCCTGGTGCTGCTAGGGGGATCATATGGGATGCTTGAACCTGGGTCGGCCGCGTGCAAGGCAAATGCCTTACCCTCTGTGCTATCGTTACAGCCCCACAGCCCCTAATTTCTACATTCATTCTTCACTGCCCCTGAGGGCTGGGATCACGTCTGTATGACCAGGTTGTGCAGCCTTGTCCTGGGCCTGGACAGAGTCGTTCCCCGAGGTTTTTGCTGGCGTGACTGACTGTTCTTTACGCTCATTCCAGATCTGTAACTGGTTCATCAACGCCCGGCGGCGGCTTCTCCCAGACATGCTCCGGAAGGACGGCAAAGACCCCAACCAGTTCACCATTTCCCGCCGCGGGGGAAAGGCCTCTGAGGCAGCCCTGTCCCGCGGCGGCAGCCCCTCCGTGCTGGCGCTGTCCGTGCCGGCCCCTGCCAACGTCCTGTCGCTGTCCGTGTGCTCCGTGCCGCTCCACTCGGGCCAGGGGGAGAAGCCGGCCGCTCCTTTCCCACCGGTGGAGCTGGAGCCCCCCAAGCCCCTGGCCGCCCCCAGCAGCACCCTCACCCTGCTGACCAGGGCTGATGCCGGGAGCCCCACCGGTGGACTCTTCAACACGCCGCCCCCCACCCCCCCGGAGCAGGACAAGGAGGACTTCAGCAGCTTCCAGCTGCTGGTGGAGGTGGCGCTGCAGCGGGCGGCCGAGATGGAGCTCCAGAAGCAGCAGGACCCGTCCAAGCTGCCCTTGCTGCACACGCCTCCCCCCTTAGTCTCGGAAAACCCCAAGTAGGCACCTGCCCGCTGGGGCGCTCGAGGCCTGAGCCAGTGTCCCGGGGTTCCACGCTGGCTCTCCCTTGCGCGGAGGGTTTTCTTTGGATCACTGCCGAACACTGGGGTCGCCTCCTCCGTCAGAGGTCTTCAGCAGGGAGACGGCAGCTGGTGGCACTGCCCTGTGATGAGGCACGCCCCCCCTCCCCGACCCCTCTCCCACCCAGCATTTCTCCAGGCTCCTCAGTGAGGGGACCAAGAGACGGGAGGCGGGCCGGGTGCTGCCGCCGCCGGTCCTCCAGAGATCCCAGGACATCTTCATGCCAACCTGCTTCCTGGGCGGGGCACAAGGAATCTGTCCTAGGTCCAGGCTGCCCCTGAGCCGGTGCTCACAGTGACATGTCATGCCGAGTCCAGAGAGTTCCCAAGTTCATTGGCGTGAACAAGAGAGAACCTTGGCGGACAGAACAGAACCGACTCCAGTTGAATGTTTAGGTTTTCACTAAACTTTTGAGTTGATTTGTCCTCTTGTGCTGTGGTTTGGATCAATGGGAGGCACGAGCCCAGGCGTGGGTCACGCGCGCGACGGGGGACGGAGTCCGACAGACTGGGGGCCATCCTCCACGGCCGCGGGCGGGCTCTGCTTGAGAAGGGAGGAATGTTTGTGTTTGGGGGACCAGCATATCTCCGCAAAATTCCAAATGGTTCTTTTATTGTTGGGTTTGGTTTACAAAAGAGGAGGAGGAAAAAAAAAAGACTTGTATGGGCTTTGGCTTTTCTGTATCAGACACAGAAGGGGGGAGCCAGAGCCAGGGAACGGGTCCAACAGAATCGGACCAAACCATCTAGGCACAGAGCAGAAAGGAGAAAACCAGTTTCCTTTTTTTCTTTATTTTTTATTTTTATTTTTTACTGTATTTGGGAGTAGGGGGAAAGTAAGCTAGACTTGAGGCAGTGGGTGTTGTTTTTGTTTTCTGTCTTCCCACCTCACCCCCGTTTTTTTTTTTTTTTTTTTTTTTTTTTTAAATTCTTGAACCCTTTACCCTGCAGCCTCTGCTTTCCTTAAGGAGCTTGGGTTAGTGGGGCCAGTAAGTCATGTGTTCCCAGCGGCTCCTGTTGGGAGAGGACAGAGCCACCTGCTGGCCAGAAGTCCCCTGTAGGCGACTCCAGTGATGGCTCTTCCCAGGATGCTGGCAGGAAACTGTTCTGGAGGAAGTGGACAGATTGCCTTCCCAGGAGGCTGGGGTCAGAAATCCGGTTTAAGGAGCAGCTTTCCTTCAAGCGGGGTTCGAGGCGCCTGCCTGGGCCTCATGGGAGAAGGTAGCAGTCGGTCTCCTTTCTTCCTTTGCTCTCCTTTTGGACAGCATTCCAGAGCAGTGCAGCCCATCTCTGTGTATCTTAAGAAACACTAATCCTAGGTTCTTATTAGCCAGATGTTTTTGTTCTGAATATCATTAGTGGGCCATCCAGAAGACAGGTCAGGAGTCCCCAGTTTCCGGGGCACTTGTGGGAGGGGAGTTCCTGGGCTTGGCTGCCTGGAGTGGCCTGGCCTTCGGGGATGACCCCCCACACACACACTTCTAGAGACTTGACCTCCCCAGAACTGTAGGAGTGGAGACTGCTTCAGGAGAGAGCTTTGCTCTCAGTGGCCAGGCCTGGTGGGCTCCTTGCTTCCCTCCGCCTCTTCCTCTTGTGCCTTCTTTTTGTGTGGCCCAGGGGGATCAGGGATCCTCACCCTCCTGAGGTCCAGCCGAGAGAAAACCACCACGGCAGCTTTAAGGTGAGTGGAAGTCGCTGGCATACCCTCCTCCGCCCACCCACATCTCCGTGTCCAGACCTGGCATGACGGTTGCCAAGTGCTTGCAGCAGGGGCGCGGGGAGTATCGGTCTGGGGGGACTTCCCTTCCCACAGTGCACTGAGCAGTAGAGGTGGCCGGGGGCGAGAGCCGTGCTGCTGAATTCTGGTTGGCATCCCCCCTAGTGCGAGACGGGAAGGCCGGGGGGAGGGCAGCCCCTGCGAAGTTTGGCTGGGAGAAAAACCTAGAGAAGCACAGTTATCCCATTGAATTCTCTGAGCAAGAAACTACTGTAAATAACTTGTTTTTGTCTTTTGTCAAATAAAGTTGTTTTTGGTTTTTCGTGGGGTTTTTTGTTTTTTTAAGCAGAATTTTGGGGGTTTTTTGGTGGGGTTTTTGTTTGTTGTGTTTTTGAATTCTAATGTGGGAAGCTGCTGGGTTTGGCTGTCTCGTTGACCAACCTCTAGCAATCAGCCGAAAGCATTCTGCTCCCTGCATCCGTATTTTCCAGACCTCCACCCTGTTGTGTCTCCAATTCATCACAGTGTACAGAGGCTAATGCGTCCCAAGCGGGGCTAGTCAGCCTTCCCTGGCATCGGTGGTCAGGTTTTGGAATTGCTGAGTGATGAGGTAACCTAAGGGATGAGCAGCTTCTCTTTTCCCGTCTTCCAATGAGGAAGGGGCATGGCTGTAGCACACTGTCTGACGCCAGGACGGGAAGCCGCAGAGAAGAGACGGTCCGAGCCATCTGAAACCAGCCCGCCTCTGGACTTCCCTGTTGCGCAAGCAAGTAGAATACCCCTTTGCGTAAGCTGACTGGATTGCATTTACATCACGAGGAAATTTCTATTGCGCTGGTTGCAGCCAAACTGCAGAGGTCAAGGTCTGTAGTAGCACCTGTGCGATGCTCACTTCATGACCCTTAATGTTTGTACGCACACAAGAGTGATGTCCCGGGTGGTAGGGAAGTTTGGGGTTGGGGAAATGGCACAGAGAAGCTGGAGCACACGCTTTGCGTGCGATAACCCTGGGTTCTGCCTCTAGCACTGCTTCAGTGCCCCTCCCACCAGGGGGCTGGAGAGACATTGAGCGTAACACAGCCAGTATTAAATGTATAGCAAGGACATGAATTCAAGTCTATCACGCTTTCAAAGCACCCTGAGGTCTTCCCAGACTGTTTACGTTTTGGTTGTTTTGGGGGGCTTGAGTTTCATCTTGTTTTGAGCAGCTACCAGCTCTACTCAGGAGCCATGTCTAGTCCCATGCTCAGGAGACCATTTCGGGTGTGGAGAGACCCAGGCCGCTTGCATGCACAGCATGTGCTCAAGTCCTCTAAGGCACCTCCCCAACTCCTTGTTTGAACTAGCAACGAGCAGCTAATGCCAACTGGTATCCAACTCTCTGCTTGGTTGGGCTAAGCACTAGAGATGTACTAAGTCAACTTCTTGGCCTCCTGCACCCACATGTAGGATAATCTCTCCCGTAGGTCGTTAGTTGAGAAATGTGGAGATTGGGATACTGGAGAGAACACGGTGAGGAGGGCACTGTCTTGCATGTTGCCAACCTGGGTTTGATTCCTGGCACAGCCCATGTCCCCTGAGCTTAGAATCAAGAGTAAACCCTGTCCATCACCCAGTAGGGTGTTACCTTGCATGCAGCTGGCCCGAGTTCAATCCCGAGCATCCACTATGGTCCCCCAAGCTCACTAGGAGTGATCTCTGAGTGCAAAGATGAGTAAGCCCTGATCAGCCTCTGGGTGTGACCAAAAAACAAAACCTCCACTCCCTTAGCTCATCCCAAACCCTGATACTTCCAATTGACTCTGTCCCAAATTTGAACACTTGTCTGTGGGGCTTGTTAGAAGTGGAACATACTGGAAGGACTAAGTTTCTCGTTTCACATCCAGAAAATGAACAGTACTATAAAACGGGAAGTGATCTGGATTGTTTGACTATCTCAGGAGAGAAGACTTTAAAAATATTTTTCAGTGAACTGAAACCAAAAGTTTCTTGAGCCCGGGTCAGAACAACAGTCGAGCCAGGGGGGCTCTTGCCTGTGGCCAACTGCAGTTGATCCCTGGCACACACAGGCACCCACCCTGGTCTGCCAGGAGTGATCCCTGAGTGGAAGCCCTGGCTCTTGAGGACCCCTGAAAAGTTCCTTGTGCCTAAAGCTTCAAGCTGATGAGGTCTTTGGGCAGGCGCTCCGGATTCTGAAAGCTGATAGGGCTAGAACGCCCCTCTTCTCAAGCTGGGAATGTTCTCCAAGGAGACCTGCCTGTTCTGAACTGGTCTCATTTTCTTAAAATAAGTTTTTATTTTTGGAGACCTCTTAAATACCTAAGTAATAAACCAAATTACCAGATGTTGAAGACTGATCGTCAAACATAGCCATTAAAGGCATGTTTGAGGGGCTAAAGAGAGTACAGTGGCTGGTACTGCATGCAGCCAGGCCAGGCTCAATCCCCAGCTTCCCATATGGTCCTGAACCCCACTGGGAGAGACCCTGAGTGCAGAGCAAGGAGTAAGCCCTGAGCACTTGTGGATATGACACCCTCCACACACACACACACACACACACACACACACATACACACACTCCCCAAAAGGGCCTGTGGTTTTAGCAACAAAAAACTGCACCTGTTCCTCAGTGGCTGCCAAACCATGTGGCAGGGTTTAACTGTGGGATACTAGGGGGGCATTTCTGATGATATTTGGGCTATTCTGCTCTGCGCTCAGGAATTACTCCCTACGGTGCTCAGGGGGACCACATTGGATGCTGGGGATTGAACCCAGGTCAGCCAAATGTAAACCCAGTGCCCTACCCATTGTACTATCCAGTTCCTAAGTTTGTGGTTTTGCTGTTTTGGCGTCACTCCTATTGGGCTCAGGACCATACACAGTGCTAGGGATTTGAACCAGAGTCAGTTGTGTGCAAGGCAAGTACTTTAGCCCCTGTACTACTACTCTTTCTGGCCCCAGGAACTATTAGTTTTAGCACTGATGACTTTCTCCAAACTCTGAATAGCTATAAAGATCCTGTAAATTGGAGGAGCCCACTCAGCTTCGGCATATTGCCGAACATCGACCATGGTTTCAAGGAAGTCCATTTTGACCAGTGCCTGGCCCTTCTCTGCGAGGTTACAGTCAAATTGGACCATGGTTCCAAGATAGGAAATCCTTTATCCTGAATAACTGGCTGAACTAGGAAATAGCTTTTTGGGGGGAGAGGTGGTGGTCACACCTAGCAGTGCTCAGGTATTCTGGCTCTGCTCGCGTAATACTCCTGCTGGTGGTCATAGGACCAGGGGATCAAACCAGACTTGGCCACATGCAAAGCAGATGCCTTAACCCCCATACTATCCAGCCCATAGCAAATAACTTGTTTTGGGGGGCGGGGCTCACCTGGTGGTGCTCAGGGCTTACTCTTGGCTCTGCTTGAGGATCATGATTGGTGGGGCACAGGGAGCCATGGAGAGTGTCGGCATGGAGCCTGGGTCAGCTGGGCTTGTACCCTGCTCGCAGACTCCACTATCTCTCCAGCCCCAGAAATAGCTTTTAAATACATGTCTGCTCCCTGGTCTTTTTTTTTGTTTGGTTTTGGTTTGGTTTGGGGGCCATACCTGGTCATACTTAGAAGCTACTCTTGGCTCTGTGCTCAGGGTTACTCCTGGCAGTACTCAGAGGAACATTTACAGTTCTGGGAG